CAAAGCAGAGCTCTTCTGAGAGCAAAAATTATGCAGTATGTTATTGGCACAACTACAGAACCATTTTAAAAGATGCAGGTTTTAATGAGTTAACCAAAATTGTAAAGTACAAATCTGTCAGTTTAAAATCCCTCTGCATGTACAAATAATCTACTTCCAAATAGAGATGGAGTAGCATACCTTCATTAAAAAAATAATTAAAATTATGCTGTTGTAATTAAGATCTTCCTCCCCAACAAATTTTTGAACACACAGAACAATTAGTATATTCATTATCAAAACAAAAATATTTTTAAAAACCCCATCATTATTCATTACTTTCTAACAAATCAAATGACTGAAAAAAATGAGAAAATACAGCATTTCTTTTACTTCTGTAGACTTTGATAGTCCACCCAAAAAATTATAAACAGGTAAGATAGTTAATATATGATCCCACCATTCTGTTATTAATGGATTTATCACCGTGTAACGGTAAAGGGTTTTGGCTCCATGACTGTTTAAACCAATAAAAATCATCAGTGTCAGTGTCCCACCACGGAAACATGTGGAACATCATTCGCTTATATTTTCTTGCTTAGTGTTCATTAATTAACTATTTACTTTTAAGTGACTCTCTATGGTATCAGATTATCTGTGGTATCTGCTCTGGTGGGGAAAAAAAAAAAAAAAAAAAAAAGGAACATGCAAATAGGGAAAAAAGACAGATAGTACTCCAAACTTCCCGGTCTTGAGTCACAATGTGAATTTTAGAACTGAATAGCCATTTTAAAAAAAAAAAAAAAAGTTACCAGTATTATTAATACTGGAAAGGGGCATTTTAAACTGCTTGTACTGAAGCAATTCCCTGCTTATCAACTCCACCATCATCACACACATCTGCCCTAGTATTTATATTTTGTGCAACCGTAACCATCTGTAGAAGTTTAATCGACCAATCACTTCTGACATCTGGAATTACTGATAGTTAATGACACTGCAGTCTTCAAATATATTGTTTATAAAGTACTTGGTTTAGGGGCTTCATATATAGCCTAATGGTATACAGACAATTTCTCGATTAAAAAATATTTTAAGACATGTAAAAAGGCTGAAGGATAACGATATTTAACACTTACATGAAAGTTACATCACAGGTTGGACAAATGAAAGACAAGCTTGCCCAGCAACCTGGCTCAACCTACCATTACCATTCATCTTCATCCTGTTCCACCTATTCAATCTCTATTCTACACAGCCCTGAATTCAAAAGCACCCTTACCTTGTGTCTTCATCCAGAAGATTAAAAGTAGAATTTACTTCAAAGTTTCATTTTTGCCACTTAAAAAATTACTTTCTTTCTAACACTCAAAGTCAGTCTGAGTTCTACTGAAAATCCTTCAGTGGTGAATTAAAGATCATAGAATTGTTTAGGTTGGAAAAGACCTTTAAGATCACCAAGTCCAACTGTTAACCTACCACTGCCAAGATCTGAGGAAGAAAACCAGCACAGACAAATGAAATGGAACAGAGGAAATAAGGGGACAGGAAAACAGCCCAGATAAGAGACTAAACAAGAAGGAAAGGAAGGAAAACTCTTTAGTCTTCGATTAAGTGTTTGGAAAATAGGTGTAAACATTAATTCTTCAGGAAAATAAATTTTCATATTTGTTCTGCTCAGCTTAGCAGTGTGATTCAGGCTACCAGTGCTTGAGACATGCAAAAATTAAAAGTGCTGGTTAAACCTTAGGTTCTTGTTTTGCTGCTCAGGTCCCTAACACAATTTTGTGTCTTAGGTTCTTTGGAAAGAACTGCCCACTGGGGAGATGGAGGTGTACATGTCAGATACAAATGACTGAATACGGCAGTGCTGAATAACCATACTGCCAGCAGAATGGAGAAGGCAAGTAGGGTTGGAGTTTGGGGAAAAGATCTTAAGGTAGAAACACAGGAATGTATTGTTAATAAAGTGAGAGAGAAGAGAAATAAAAACCAAAATCTCCTTTGAGCCTGATGAAGGCTACTGTGTTTTGAAGCTTTTACAGATACCTACCATCTTAACAGACAATGAGAAATAGAAGAGTACTGAAAGTCTTCTAGCTACCACAGATAATTTTTAAAAGTAACTTTATGATTACTGTTTTTCCAGCTAAGCCTTGTCGATGAAATCATTTTCAGGTGTTAGCGATCCAGCTACAGGCCTGGCTTTTGTCACATTATTCCCATATATTAATTTTTTTAAATGAAAAAAGAATGAATGATTTAAGATGTCAAACACTGCTGTTCCTTATTATTAAGCTTAAAACCTTTGGGTTTGTTTTTCCCAACTGTAGTTTAATGCCTAAGTAAAAATAAGGTCTATTTCCACATACGCTGTGAACTTGGTAATACAGGGAGGGTCATCCGCTGACACAGTATTATCCTGCCAAGCAGAAAAGGCATGATGCGACTACTATTGCACAATATTTCTCAAAATAAATGTTGAAATTACTTTTGTATCTATTCTTAGTGGTAAATTTTGTCTTGCTGCCCATCTTATTCAAAGAAAGAGCTATTTTTAAAAAGGTGATTTATACAGTTCACAAATATTTTTCTAGCTACTCTTGAATTTGCTATTAATAATGTCAATAGGATTAAGTGACTTGTACCAGCAAAGAAATAGCTGAACATGTCGTTACTTGACAAACAGCCTAGTCAATATTTGTGTCTTGAACACAAGCATTTGATGGGATAACAGCTGTCATTGGACAACATTGGACTTCAGTGGACAACAGAAGTAGAATGCTTTTGACCAGGTTGGTAGAGACAAATACGCATTAAGCTCCTGTTCAAATGAAATGAGATTTAATAGAGCAAGTGTGAATATTGTTACAAAAAGGACAAAAAACTTCTGACAAGCTCAACTATGATCTCCAGAGGAAAGGATTAGGCCTTATCTTAGAAAAATAAACTTTTTCAAAGGGATGAGCTAATAGGTTCTACCACATCCTTCTGGACTCACTGCCTTTAATTCTTCATAAGACTACATGAAAAGTGAGAATAAATGAGAATTTATTTAAAACAGCCTGTTCATATTTCCAGTTCCTCTTTTTATTCTACCACCATTACATATAGACCTATGTAGCTGTATTAACAACTCTTTCTTAGTAAATCCAAACAAACTTAGCATTAACAAACCTTGGCGTTAAGAAGACAATGACAGTCCACCACCTACATGTGAAAAGAATTATGCACTATTCTGTGATGTACAATATGAAAACGCAAACTATTTTTTTTTTTTTTTTTAAATTTGTGTCCTTAGAGGTACAAGGCGATTCTACCATTGTGCTCTATCCCCAGATACTTAAGACGCAAAAAACTTTGAACGGGACATCAGCTGAGAACTGATTTTGAAGGGGGGGGCGGAAAAAAAGCAGTGGACAGAAATACAAGATGGGAAAAATAAGTCTCTTTCACAAAGGGTTCAAGGAGCTGCTTAAAAAAAAATAATAGATCTACCTGCCAACCTATTTGCCTATTCCTTAACTAATTCCAGGCCTGTTCCCAAGCAACTACTACTGTCCTCATCACACCAAAGAACAGGACAGAGACAGGAAGACCATTAGACAAGTTCTTCCTAATAGTTTTGATAGTCTTGTAAAGGAGAAAATTGTGCCACAACAGAAAATAAAGTGTGTTGAGATAAATTCTTTTTTTTTTTTCTACAAACTTGTATGATTTCTTCGGGGAAAAAGGATGTAAGCCTATAGCTTCTCTTTGAGAAGATTTGCCAAGTTTTATAATCACATACTTTCCTCAGTGTCTCTCTTCTTCAGGCCAGCTCAAGTGCTCACTGTGAGCAACAAGCAAATTTTCCTCATTATCTCCCTTTCACTATTTTTATCATTAACCTCCTTGGTTTTGTTTGGAGTTTGTACAGTATCCAAGGGGTAGGAAATCTTTTTACATTAATGTTTTTGTAATTAAACAGAGGCCAGGCTCACTTCTGCTCACAGTACACTTACAGATGCTAGGCAATATTGGAGATAACTTACCCCAGGCAGGATTTACAAAAAGGTTATGTGAATGTCTGATTAGGGGATAAAAGCACTATTAGTCATTCTTTCATTCAAAAGAAATTAATATTTACCATGTAGCTTTCTTGGCACATGATTTGAACTCATGAGAACAGAAAATACCTCACTGTAACGAAGCAATTACAATACTTTGTAAATGTAGTCTTCTGTTTACCTAAGGATTTCCAGAGAGATTTTAAGAGTTTATATTAATAACTCAGGGTTTTTTTCTATATTTTTCACCCCAAATAAATGCTTAAATTTTTTTTTTTTTTTTTTTTTTTTTCAAAGGAGACCTATACATACCCAGTTGCTGAAAGAGAAGAGCCACACTGGTGCCTGTAACAGGAAGGCTATCATGTAGAGGAGTCTGTATCAGTTGTCGGTCTCCAGCTCCCAAAGAAAACAGTTTCTGCAGAAAGAATTCTTTTTAATTGAGTATAAATTTAATTTATATAGAATAAACAAGCTGTTATCATACAGAGAAGTAATTCATCCTGCAAAATTACTTATTTTGTATACAGAAGTTTAAAGTCAGTAAGAATAATTGAATCGACCAACAGAGAGCTGAAATACAATTTGAGGACAATGATATATCTCCTTGGATGTATAGCATGATAATGCCTTCCTTGCATTTCCACTGGGTTAGTTAAATAGTTATAGCTTTGAAGGCATTCAATATTATGTTTTTAATAATACATTAAAAAAACCTTCAAGAAAAAAAAAAGTTTTAAACCCATTCAAATCAGAAAAATAAATACTATTTTCTAACTGAAGTTCTTCGATATCTACTGTCTGCATGCATGTTTTACATATGAACATACTTGTAATATATGGGTATTGAAGAGAACACTTCTGCTACTCCTATGTCCCTGCTCTGCATATTAAAATAGAATTAAAATTTTGGTTACCTTTCCAGAACATGAACATACCTCCTTTGAGGGAGGCAGGAAATGGGAATGGAAGGAATGCACTTGTGTATCACATCCCAAAAAGCACTGTAACTGCAAAATAACCTTGCTTTCCTCTGAGTTAATCCACATGACATTCAAGCAGTGGGTGACTTCAAGCAGTTACTGCTAACTACCATGGGGTGGGGGGGCAATTTTGTACAAGCAATGTGGTAGAACTCCACTCTGTACAGCAAATATGTTGAACGTATGAAGGTAGCAAGCTCTATTTGCTGCATAACAGATGTTTGAAACCGAAATGCTTGACAACAAAACCATGCAAGTCCCTGAGCTGTAGCAGAGATGCTCTTCCTCAGCACTTTATCAGGAGACTTGGATGCAGGTCAAAAACTGATTTTGCAGTTGATTATTTCAGCAGTGGACACATGAATAACCTGGGAGGCTCCTCAAGGACTTGTGGAGATAAACATCAGAAGACTATGCGCATTCTAAGATACATAATTCAGATTTAGACCTGGAAGGCATAAAGCTTAAGAAAGAAAACAGAATAACTTAATTTCTGATTAAAATGGTAGTTTGACACCAGCCAATTTAAGTTTGAACTGAACATTTTATTAGAAGACAGAAAGCAGAAGGGAGAATAGCCAGAGGAGCATGAATTTTCCTCCCTCTTCTAGCAGAGGAAATGGCCACTGAGGACAGCTGTATTGAAGGATGGGGTTTAAAAAAACTAACCCCCCCCTCCAAAAAAAAAAGAAGATAGAAAAGAAGTTCAAGTGGATCTCCAAAACCTGTAACATGAGGCTCAAATACCACTGGAAAAAAGGGTTTCTGATAGGGAGATACAATTGAATTACTCCCCTTCAAAACCAAAAGGCTTTGGATGCAAAAAACACAGAGACATGGTGGCCTGGCAAGCAGTAAGGTAGATCTTGACTAAGCTGAGAGGACATTTTGCCACTTACAGCACTATGAGAAATTCCAAAGCAGTCAGCGCTATGGGAAAAACAGAAAAGAATTAGGGATTTGTAGGATTTCAAGAAGGTTGATAATCCATAGGGTGGGTGGGAAGCGTGAGAAAATGTGTATGAAATCAACTTTAAAATAATTCCATTTGCATACTTAGTTTCCAGGTATGTTTCATGATACATTTCCCAGTAGTGTCACAGCAAAAAGTGAAGGTCAAGCAAATAAGACCCAACTGGCTTGTCAGAAACTCATAAAAGTATATGATTACTTTATTTAAAGTAAATCAACAAACAAACCTGACCTTCTGCTCACAGAAAGCATAGGTAAAAAGGAGAAAGAAGCATAGTTGCTGGAAACCTTTTTTCTTATTTTTGAATGCATGGGCTACCTGGAATGTTTAATTACCTCTGAGAAAACCATGTCCAAGTTACTTTTTCAGCATTTTTTAAAAATTCTATGAAAACAGAAATTTAAAAGAATTAACAAAGAAAAGACCAGTGGAATCCTGAACTGCATCAAGAAAAAGACATGGCTAAATGAACCAAAGTGAAGGACATGTTAAAAAAAAGCAAAAAAAAAAAGCCTTTAAAAAAAAAAAATCTGTAGCAAGCAAAAATATTCCTGAACGCACATTATTATTAAAAACTAAACTTATACAAACTGCTTGATTTGTTACTGTGCCTTGTAAAAAGCCAACTCAGTGACAAAATTAACCCTTTGACCTTATCTTGGAATGGAATTTTTGCTGTCTTTAGAAGATAGGCCACAGGGAAAGCACTCACAGGCCACAGGGAAAGCACTCAGTTGAACTATGGTCTTTTTTTCTTCAAAAATATTTCAAGAATTTTTTTTCTGTTTTCTTCATAAATTAAATTAACTGGAAAAATACCCTCTTTTCCCATTTACCTGAGACCCTCCAGAAGCAGGGACAAGGCATGAACACAGATTTGCAATGAGAGTCTCCAGTGACACGTTCAGGCTGTCCACATACACAGTATAGATCAGGCCAAGGCAAGCCTAGAAAGGTAGACAAAATATGTTAGACTGCTATATAGGGAAGGCAGACGTTAAATTACTTCAAGATCTATGCTTTTTTTTTTTTTAAATAAGTGTGTCTTTATAGTTATTAATGTAGTGAAGTACTTTCCAACTGAAGACAAAGTAATTAGCTATAGAAGCAATCATTCATTTAAAAAAAATAGCTTGGTTATTTAGAAGGGATATATGTGCTGGCCGGTCTAGATATATTCCTTTTTAAAAGAAATTAAATGTTTAATATCTGTGCTTTAATATTTGTGCTTTGTTCATGATACAAAAAGTGCTTTACTATGAGTTACCTTTGAAAATTATAAAATCAACATAGCTACATCTGTGCTTTGAATACTATGGACCTAAACCTGACTGCTTTCCAGAGTAGAACACTGATGAATCAATGAGTGTTTGAGGCTCGTTTTAAGACTAGCATCAAGAATCAACAATTCCATATGTTATTTAAC